CAGTAAATCGCGTGTCTCCCCCCTAAAGAAGACTACAATCCCAAGACTTGAGCTTTGCGCAGCAGTGCTATTAGCTAAACTGATGCATCGAGTGAAATCATCGTTAAAATTGGAGCTTACTGCTATCCACCTTTGGACCGATTCTATGATTGTGCTGTCATGGATCAACAAAGAGCCACACCTGCTCAAGACATTTGTTGCAAACCGGATTTCAAAGATACAGGATCTGACTGAAATAGCACAGTGGCATCATATCGCTTCTGAAGAAAACCCATCAGATCTCATATCTAGAGGTATGTCTGCCAAAAAACTGCAACTAAGTCAACTGTGGTGGAACGGGCCTGACTTCTTAATGAAGGATGAGTACCCTATAAGAGTTATACCTGAAGCAATTACTGAAAAGGACAGTAATGAACTTAAAAACTTTGCTGATTCTGAACTATCTACATGTTTAAATCTGAATGTGAATAATTTTGTTAATGATTTATTGAATTGCAGTAATAAGTATTTAAAATTAATTCGTATTATAAGTTTTTGTTTTAGGTTTTACAAGAATTGTAAGCAAGAACAAAAGCAGGTAGGTAATTTACAAGTGGGAGAATTGAGAGCAGCTGAAGAAACTTTAATAAAATTAGTACAGGGTGAGTATTTTATAAATGAGATAAATGATCTTAAAAAATCAGGTATTGTTCCAAGAAATAGTTCTATTAAAAGTCTTAACCCTTTCATTGACAGTAATGGACTGTTGAGAGTTGGAGGTAGATTAAAAAATAGCAATTTAACTTATGAGAAAAAATTTCCTATTATTCTGCCTTCTAAACATAAATTAACAGAGTTAATAGTTAATTACTATCATTTAAAATATTTGCATGTGGGTCCTCAATCTTTGTTATATCATATAAGACAAAAATTTTGGATTGTAAGTGGTAGAAATGTTTGTAGAAAAATTGTAAAAAATTGTATAATATGTTTTAAAGCCAATCCCATTGTAGCTCAGCAAATCATGGGTGATTTACCCAAGGAAAGAATCACAGCTAATCTTACATTCAATTGTACTGGAGTTGACCTCTGTGGCCCATTCTTAATTAAGTACAAAAACCAGAGAAAAGAAAAGGTATATATCAAAAAGTTTATGTGTGTATATTCATTTGTATGGTTACTAAGGCCATTCATTTAGAGCTGATAACAGACCTAACATCTGAAGCATTAATAGCTACCTTGAAACGTTTCTTTGCACGAAGAGGTAAAAGTTTAACACTATTTAGTGATAACGCTACGAATTTTGTAGGTGCAAATGCAGAATTAAAGAGGTTAAACAAACTAGTGAACGAACAAGATGAGCTTTTAGCTGGTTATTTGAGTTCTGAGAATATCGAATGGAAATTTCTCCCTCCCAGAGCACCTAATTTTGGAGGCCTTTGGGAGGCTGGAGTTAAATCTTTTAAGTACCACTTCAAACGTGTCGTAGGTAATGCAAAATTGACATTTGAACAATTTTTAACAATTATGATTCAGATTGAAGGAATTTTAAATTCCCGACCATTGACACCCTTGTCTTCGGACATTGATGATTTAGAGGTTCTAACACCTGGGCATTTTTTAATTGGTAGAGCAATTAATTCGATCCCTGAGCCAGATATCACGGAAGTTAACATTAACAGGTTAAAATTGTGGCAACAGATCACAAGATTAGTACAAATTATCTGGAAAAAATGGAACTCCAATTATTTAAGTCATTTACAAAATCGATCTAAATGGCAAAGTTCTAAAAACAATATACAAGTTGGAGACATGGTCTTAATTAAAGATAATTTGCCTTGTTGTAATTGGGCGGTTGGTCGTATAATAGAAGTATTTTATGGTAAAGATGGAAAGGTTCGCGTGTGTAATGTAAAAACTCAAACTGGAACTTTCAAACGACCAATTACCAAATTATGTGTCTTACCAATACAAAAATGAGTATTGTCTTTATAGTTATTGTACAGTATTGAATGTGCTTCACATAAAATGTCATTATGTAACTGAAATGTTATATTGTATTGCTTTGAGTTGTACGCTAATGTATATGGTAAATGTCTAATTATAATAATGATTTTTATGTAATAGTACTTATTCAAAATTGTTTATGATATACTTGTTTAATTTTTTATGCTATATCTTAATTACAATAGTTGAATGCTAAGCATTGCAACGCGGGGCGGCATGTTCGCGCCTGCGCATGTGTAATGTAATCCACGCATGCGCATCTGTAATATGATGATCAGACGAGTTTGAGAATCGCCATCGACGGTGTAAGATGGCTGGTCACAGCTATGAGTTAATGAGTGATTGTAATTAATTATGAGAATTAATAAAGAATCGAACCAGCGAATTTATTTAGTGTGTGTTATTTGGGACGAGACCCAAACAATTTAATTTCTTTAAATATAACACAGAGCGATAATACTTTGTGGCAACAAAATTTTTGGATACAGTTTTTAAACTGGCATTATTGCTTTCATCTGTAGAGAGGTAGAATGGAACTGTTTTAATGCAATCAATAACCAAAGATTTATTTTTCATACACATTTCTTTAACAACTGAAGCCATTTTGGTCCTTGCATTTGGGTATTTCTTAACAATTACACTATCGAGAAACAATTTTCTAAATATAACTATAAATATTTCTAAATATAACCATGCATCATCATCCGAAGTATTTCTTGCCAGGTTGTGCAGCAGTAAAAAGGCAGAGAACAAGTTTCTGCATTTATAACTTTTTGGTCTTCTATTTTCCACAAAAAAATCTATTTTTTTCAACAGAACTCATGTTGTCCTTGTGCTTTTTGATATGCACATGTTTGATAATATCAGACCTTTCACCATGCGAAGTTCATCGCGATTATGAACAGTACACATCACAAATATATTTATTTCATTTCCTTGAGAAAATAATAAACAATTTTTAAAAATTGCATGAGTATTTTACCTTTTTTGTAGACAACTAAAACAAAAGATCATAATTTCTTAAACTATTTCTCAAAAGCACGTGCACTCGGACCGCTTAGCGACAAGATAAACAAAATAAGAACCTCAATTTTGCTTTATGTTCATTGGCTAATATATGTCAAATGACATGCAGTGGTGCTCGATGCTCGATAATGAAGAACTGAAACATGATGTTTTCGAATACATGTGCTTTCACTGACAAAGCAGAAGTGTGGCATAATTTTTCACATGAAACGATTTTGTTTTTCTTTTATATGTAATCCAGAGGAAAAAAACCAAGTGCTTTCAGATACCCCAAACCACTTTTTTTTGTGCAAATAACGAAGTATTAAGCCAAGCTATATAAAAAATCGTGAAAAATTTTACGAATAAGAGAAAGTTGGGAGAAATATGTTGTAAATTGGGTTGGCCAAAGAGCGGTTGGAAATCAGGAGTCTCCTGCCTAAATTGATGGAGTTTGTAACTCTGCTGCTGTCTATAATGAGAATGCAAAACAATTAGTGATGTCTTCCAAATATCAGAACAAGACGTACAGTCCTACTTGTTTTGGTAACTTACACTAAGACTTGTATGTAGATGTAAGCGACTTATCGCTATATCTAGATAAGCAAAAAGAAACATAAATGTGTAAAAGATCCCTATCCTATCATTTATATATGTAATCCAGAGAAAAAAACTAAGTTCTTTCAGATACCCCAAAACCACTTTTTTTTTTTTTTTGTTCAAATAACGAAGTACTAAGTCAAGCTATATAAAAATCGTGAGAAATTTTACGACTAAAAGAAAGTTGGGAGAAATATGTTGTAAATTGGGTTGGCCAAAGAGCGGTCGGAAATCAGGAGTCTCCTGCCTAAATTGGTGGAGTTGGTAACTCTGCTGCTGTCTATAATGAGAATGCAAAACAATTAGTGATTCTTCCGAATATCAGAACAAGATGTACAGTTTCACTCGTTTGGTAACTTACACTAAGTAAAGACTCTTATGTAGATGTAAGCGACTTATTGCTATATCTAGATAAGCAAGAATAGAAGGCACTCCTGGTGCTGACAAATCAGCCAGCTTTTATGGCATGAACTCAAAAGTAGAAATTTAAGTTGAAACTACGTCTTAGCCAAAGGCTACGCAGAAATATTTAAATGTACAAGTTGGCTCTTAACCTACACCGATATGATAGCACTATTTGTAAAAATAAAGCAACACCACAGACAGGAATGCTTATCATAGAATACAACTAGTAATGTGCCCTTCAGCAGGCAGAAACACACTCAGATTAAAACAATTTCAAATCCTCACTTAACTACACACCAGTTAAATTTGCACTCTGGCAGAAAAACAGAGATAGACTGAAGTAAATGTACAGATTTTTAACATAAAATAACCAACTTATTAACATAAATACCTTACGAAGAAATATAGAGGTATGGCTTACTTTCGTCTGGAATTGCACCTAAAACAATTTATGCGATGGCATCCCACTAGCCATTATAATTTCTTTAAATCAGCATTAGCAACAACTGCTGAAATGTTGAAATATTACATAAATTGCTTCTGCGTGATGTTAAATAAATCGTGAAAACATTGAACAAACTGCTTGAGTGCACAAAACAATGAAGCGGATGCCACAAAGTGTTTGAGAAAATGTTCCTTCTCTTGCTAAGGCCACCACAGCAAGTCAAATACAGATTCTTTTAAGTCTGCACAATGTAGTTAGACCACCTCTAAGCCTTTCTATAATAAATGCAGTTCCGTAGACCCAAAAATGGACACTTCACTATATATAATTCTTAGTTTAATTAGGAAGACAGATTTGGCAATTTATCATATTCATAAGCCTAAAAAACACACTGTTCCCAGATAACTGAAAAATACCAATAATTCAACTGTCGTGATTGGGAGGGGGAAGTATATTAAATAATTTTCAGTATTTTAGAAGCGTTTACAATTTTTTGAACAATAATTATTTTTATATGTTTTCTAAAAAGTATGGCAGAAAAAAGTTTGAAAATATTTACCTTAAAATTGCAATAGCATCGTCCACACTGCGAGCAACTTCTCCCTCAACATGAAGTCGATTTACATTTTCTTCCAGAGGTGTCTTAATGTGTAAAGGCTCCTTCTGGGGTTTGGCTGTAACAAAGATTTACAAAATGATCAGAACCAAGAAAAGTCACAAGTTTAGTTAATTTCTTAATACTAAATAAATGCATATTAGCAACAGAATGTCCAACTACATGTGTGGCATGATTATGATTTCCCATTGCCATGATCACATTCATCCAGTCATGAGAATTTTTTGCTAGTAGATATATATTAGTTTATAATTTAAATTATTTTATTACTTTTTCATGATGTTAATATCTTAATTAATGGAAATCAATGAAAACAAGGAAAGGACTAAAATAAGCAATTATACAAATTTTAGCTCATAGAAGCCATTTCAATACAAATTTTAAAGAGCAGATCCAAAAAACAGTGCCACTTTGATTATTAAACATTAGCTATAATAAAAAATTAAACTTGTTGAATCTATGTTCGTTTAAACAAACATAGATTTGTAAGCCATTGTCAAAACAAATGGCTTGCAAATTACAGCACTGCTTTGTTATAATTGCACTACAGTAAAAAATATCTTCTAGACCTACTGGCGGCCCAAGAAACAATTTTACATGACTTAAAAATATGTTTCCCATAAATTACTTAACATTAAGAAATTAATCATTATAACAAGATTTTAAAGAAAACATTCAAGATTTTAATGATTTGGTGTCCAATTTTACATTATTTTCATTACCAAAAATGAATGTGGATAATAGCCTAGAAAATCCCTATAAATGAGGAAATTAATTATTAAGTTCTAAATTTTTACTTGTTAATCTTATTTCAAAGATTTGACATTCCATTAACTTAATTTGTACAGTGTGGCCAGAAAGACCTTTTACACTTGAACTAAATGTGTGTAACAGTATAAGATAACACATATAAGATTTAAATTTCCTATCCTATTTGTTCACAGGGCTACTCATGTGAATTTCACTGCGATTGCTGCATGACTGCCTGGGGAGGAGAAAGATGACTGTGCACTGACCAGCTTATTCTCTCGCCTTTCTGTGCTTGGTGAAGAACAAAATATGTTTACGAGTGCACATTTAATGTATAACGGACGGTATATGCTAAGCTAAAATTATCTAATTATCTATTTCAGTTAATGTTGCAGATTGCGTTGTTCCTTAATCTTCAAATTGGATCCGGCTTGTTATTTTTTGCAGACCGTTAGAGCAATTTTATAAAAGTAAGCTTGAACTTCCGATTATGTCAAATAGAATTTCTGATATATATTTACTAATATGTAAAGGATCTACATAGCGAAAGTATGTTTCGAAGTTCATTAAACAAAAAGTGGAATTCGTGCAAAAAATGGATAAAGGCATATCTTTGTTTATCTAAACTTTGTTTATCTTTAACAGCGCTGCGGGCGCACGCACAATGAATTGGAAGTTGATCTGTCAGCACTATCCTTTTCTTCAGGGCAAATGTTTTTATTTTATTTGGCTTATAATTCCTTACTAAATGTAGTATTTCATCTCGATGTACTCCGTCCTTGATATGATTTAAATCAAATTCCTCGCCATTATAATTCGTTTCCGATAGCAAAGAAAGTGACAGAGGTTATTGAAAATGAAAAAATTTTGATTGACAAATTAGTCAGTATTCTCGGCACAGCAATTATAGGACTTGAACAGCGGAACTTTGTAACTGAACAAGAAATTATGTCTGTTTATAGAACTAAAGAGAATGTATTATCACATAAAAAACGAGGCAACTTAAACAACTTACATTGAAAAAATGTTTAATAAAGTAAACAAATAAATATTAAGCTTTTTTTTTGTAAATTTTGATACCCTTTAGATCATAATTGTTCTTTATTTCATAAGTTACGGTTTCATATTTTTAATTTTATAATTTCTGCATGCCATCTTACCAGATTTAAACTGATGATCTATAATCCGAAAAAATCGATAATCCGGAATCGCCGAAGTCCCGATGAGTCCGGATTAATGACTTTTGACTGTATTATTTACGTACAAATATGTGTATTCCCTTCTTTCATGCACTGAAAAATCTAATAAATAAAGGGAAAAAGGTTGTCATTATTTATTTTCAAGTTTTATCCCACTTGGAAAGTTTTCCTAATTTGTTTTATAATCAAGTTATTTAGTGGCTAATTCAACACATAAGAATTATCTAAATTAAATGCCAGTGTGAAAATTTAGTATTTAGCTGTCAATATGTTTGAATTAAAGAATGTAATCAATAGAAATTTCTTACAGATGCAGAGTTTTAGATTTCAGACAAAAAATAAATATAAATTTGGGCTTCTTCTTTGTTACACTATTACTGCTGCGTGCATATGAGTTTGTAATAGATTGAATACATGCAGGTACAATGAGAGGTTGATAAAATTAATTTTACCAAAAGTGACACTTCAGAGTTCCGGAGCTTTCCACAAAAATAGTTATACAACTCTTCACAGTATTATAGAGTACAATGAGCAGTTACACTTTAAATTACTGAGAATGACAGAACACATTGCAAAGTGCATATATGGAGCAAAGCTGACATGGAGATATCTCAGTACTCCGTACTCAATTGAACTAACATCTGAGAGCAAATGCTCTCTCCAGTCTTACACAGTTTTTACCCGGCCAACAATGTATAGTACTCCACTTTTCTACTTTCTGCTTCTCAAAATTATTGGAATGCATATGAGGGCCAACACAGTTACAGTAACACAGGACACCAATTATAATATCCATTACAGTTACACAGGTTGCAGACCAAATGGTTGTCAAATTAGTCCCCAAAACTGTTGCTAGCTTGGTGATATCTCACCGAATTAGTAAGACAGCCATTTACTCAATGTTAAATATTGCCTCTGTATTCTTAATTTTCTAGCAGAGTACTGCCTCTCCAGATTTTCATGTTATTATACAGAAAAAATACAGCAATTTCAAATATAATTGCACTAAAATTATCTACCTATGTACCAAATTTGTAACATTATTATTATTACTGTTTATGTATGGAAAGAAAAAAAGAATTCACCAAAAATATTTTATGGATTAAAGTATTTTAACAACTGATCTAAATTCTTTTATGGAATGATATAGTTTTTTTATATTTTTATTTATTTATTTATTTTTTTAAAATCATACTAGTTTTTAACTTTAGATACTATAAGAACAACTCAAATGAAGACTTAAATCTGATCCACAAACTTTATTAACACTGCTTATATAAAAGGCAAAAATACTTTTTAGACAATTTCCACAAACTGCTAGATAGCTACACTTCTCTAACTCTCATTCATGTGCATACTCTGTGATCAATGGACAATCAGTTTAGATTATGTTTAAGATCAGCAAAAGCTATTGACTAAATTACAAAGAAAAGCATGCACTGCATAGTCTTTCTTACAATAAAGGATACAATGCATAACTATATATGAATGCAAAATAATTTCCTTTAAAATGATCAATTAGTGAATAAAAAACCACCAAACAAACTATGTGCTTCTGCCATAAGCACATAGTTTGATTGTTTGGTAGTTTTAAATATACCGCAAAATAGACAAAATAAGGTTCTTTGTTTAAACATCTAACAAAAATTTGGGTAATAACACAATACAATAAATATAATTACCTAATGATTTCTCTGTAAGTTTTTCAATTTCAGCCCGAGTCACTTTTGTAACAGCAGGCTTAGCAGGTTTTATAGAATTCATTTCCTCTTCATAAGCCATTTTACTAGCAAGCTTCTTTTCCTGAACTTCCTGTTTCTTCTTTTCTCTTTCTTCCTGTTTTACAAAATAAGTTACCCGTTACTGGTGAAGTTTAAATTTTTTAAAAACTAAATGTAAAATTGCATAAATTACTAGATTTTTATTCACAGAATTTCTATAACAGTTTATCAAATAAAAAATTAAAAAATTCATTAAAATAAAATTTTACATAAGAATATTTTAATTTTATTTTTTTTTTTTTGATTAAATTAACAGTCAGATACAGCAAACTGTAGATAAAAAAAAAATTTAAATAATGATATAAAAACAAAGCAAAAATTTTCTTTTTAGTAACTGTAATACACACAAATCAGTGAAAACAGATTGTAGCAGTGACACAGAATTCAGTGATTATTTTATGTATTTTTACTGTATATAGATGATTTTTGTAAAGTGCACCTGAATTATAAATAAAAGCTATGACTATACAAATAAAAAATTAACTAACAGATCTAATTAGAGTTAATTACTGATTCACCCTGTTCATTAAGGCAAAAGTTTATACAAATAATAGTTAAAACTGTTGGCCACATAAAACGTAATTAATGCACACAATTATATTTAACACACAGAAAATGAATTTATCACTAATTTAAATGAAAAGAATAATAACTTGTAACTTAAAGCAGAATTTAATTAAAACAATAATACAATTTACCTAGATTTTAAATGTTGCTTTTGAAAAAAAAAAAAAAAAAAAAAAAAAAAAGTTACACTCCCCCATTTGTTTACAGCCATTAGACATACATTTATATAACATAACAAATACTATTTAAAGCTATGTTCTCAATGAATTTGAGCTCAGTTTATTATCTAACAGCTTGTCAACATGTTTAGTTGTTCAAGACCATCAAAGCTTCTTCTTCTTCATACGGATCGATTGGCTTTCCTCGAGTTACTGCCTGAAAAATATGCTACCTGATAACCCTACAATCTTCATTACTTTAGCATTTCCCTTGCCCTTCTTCACCATCAGCACCTCTCAGACCCTTTATTTTTATATTTATATTTTCAAAACCTTGAATCACTAAAACAATTTTGATTAAGTCCAGTGTTCTTTTCACTGGCAGAACTTTTTTTTTTTTTCCCCCTCCTTATTTTGAGATATCAAGAATCAGTTTGTTCAAGCCATGAATTAGCATTATATGTTTTTTTTAAACCTAGTGCAGCCGTCTCAAACTCAAACTGCATGCAGGCCAAATGCCTAATTAAAAAAAAAATCTGATAAGCCAGTTTTTTTTTAACAAAAAGAAAAATTTTATTTACAAAATAAAAAAATTAAAACAATAATATTGCAAAGAATATTATAATAATACTGCATCTTTTATTTCATATAATTCTAACATATTTATTAATCCTTAAATAACTTATTTTAATATACACTAAAAATAAACAAATTATGAAAACTTTCTAGGTTTTCAAAAAAAAAAAGTTTACCGAGTGGGGACAGAGCTTGAGAATAAATAAAAACAACTTAGCCTCTTATTAAACTTTTCCTTGATCCATAAATAAAAATACATGTTTGTATGTACTATAAACGGCCAAGCAGTAAAGTCGCTGAGCACTAGTAGTTCGATCGGGTTTCAAATTCTGGCAGAAGAGGCTTCATGGTTTTCTACATATGTAATGTGGATATGAGCCAGTTTCTCTAAGAAAGGTCCTCCACCCCTACCCTTAGGAAGATAGCATGGAGGTAAGAAAAGAAGGAGGGTTCAGCTCCACACTATGAGTGAAGCACTGCTCCAAAGCTTCGGTCTCCAGGTGGGGTGTTTTTTGTTTACATTTAGAAGCTCCCCTAACAGCGCTTCGATAGTATTTCGACACACGACAGTTCCATACAAATCGAAAAATGGGGCACTTCCGCATAAAAGACACATTGATTGTGTGATGGATAATAGTAATTTGTATAGTTTAGTGACATTTAAGCAAAAATCACATCTTGGTTATTTTTTGGTAACCAACAACAGCGATTTTGATTATGAATCTGTTTTATAAAATTCTAAGCTGTTGAACCACAAAAATATAGATTTTAGCAAAAATGTTATGCTTAAAGAATGACAAATACCTTACGGTATCTTTAAAATTGTATACATCTTTCGATACCCTTTTGTATTCGCTACTTTTATTTTATGTTCCAAACGCCAAAATGTTTTAAATAAAATAAATTGTGCTCGCTTCTTAAGGTATGCAGTTCTCATTCAGACAAAGAATGGCTAACTGGAGTATATTACAATATTTGCTCTCAATATCATAATTAAAAAGTGGCAAAATTTTTGATTCTGAATTAACTCTCTCCTGGATCAAAGATTTCTCTGAGAAATTGAGAACTGAATACTGATACTGTGTGTTGTAATACAAAAATTATGAATGTAATACAAAATGTGATGTAATATGTAAATGTAATACAAAATTATGAATGAAAAACCTTGTTCAATATACAGTGAAAATCGTTTAACACGAAACTGAGGGGACAAACATTTTTCGTGTTAAGAGATATTGTCCCTCTAAAAAGAATCAACAAAATTAAGTTTATTAGAGTATATTTTATTTACAAAAGTGTACATATGCATGTATTTAATAATTATCAATAAAGCAAAGACATCCACAAGAACTTGATATAAAATTTTCAAGTTTTTTGAAAAACAAAACATCGAGTTTTTGTCTAAATGTGCATCTAAATAACTGCTCATACTTTTCATGATGTTCTTCATTTTGGATGACTTAAGAACAGGGGCTGCATTATTCATTTTATTTTCATCATCAGAATCTGCATCAATGATATTTTTTTAGCTTTCAGCAAACTCCAAAATGTCTTTGTCTGACATAATTGGTGCTGTACGCACATTATCATCATCATCTGCAACAAATTCTTCTGATGATACAGTAGGACAGTCTAATAATACAGAAACTTTCTCAAACGGTTCATTAAGTGTCAGCTCAGTATTCCCAGTTTCCCCCGTCCTCCTTCTCCATTTTTTTTGGGACGAACCAAACTCATTGATTTTTTACTCACACTGCATTGTACTCGCCACTGAATTCCAAAGCCAACTGATGAGAGATGAGATATTTTTGTATTGCGTTTGTAGGAGTGGAGGTTGAAAGTAGCTTAAATAAACAAAATTAGCACAGATTATTTCAAATCCAAGTTAGCCTCCTTTCTACGACACATGTGAAACCATCTCTCTTTTATTTCACACATTCCTTAAATCTCGCAGCTGGTGTTCTTTTCATTTTAAGCGATTTTCGTTTTGTGTTAAAAGAAACAAGATGCATCAAAATATGTAGTAGTTTGTCAGAACTGTTGTATTATTTCATGTTAACCAATATTTTGTCTTAAGTGTTTTAGCGTTAAATGTATTTCACTGTATATATTTGAGCGCAGTGGTCCACTATTTTTGAAAGTTTCAAGACATGGAAAAGTGTTATTAATCGGTATATCAATATACTTTGTATATTGTTACCTTCTGAATAACCTCACAGTATGAAAATTTCAGGTAAGTAAATTTAGATCAATTAGTTGTTTTAACTGTTTTAAAAAAATGAAGCTATTATGCAGAGTAAGGCAATCAAGATTGCTATCTGATGACAATCCGGTTTATGTTTAAATGTGAAATGGATAGTAATTATTTGTTATATTATCAGAGAATTATTAAACTAGTTAAAATTGCTAAGAGAAGTATTGAGTGCTCTGCCATAATATATTTACTAGAAGATTTGAATTTAATAATGAATGTATTCTAAACTGTGTTTTACGTTAAAAGTTTGAAACTTGATGGTTAAATGTAAAATTTTGCATGTTAAAATATTCGTAATTATGCACATAGGACAGGTTATGTTTTTATTAAATAGAGTAAGGCATGCAAGGGCTATCTGCCTAAAGGAAGAGATGCCCTCATGGAGGAATTTCGAAGAAAAACTGACCTTTGAATGGGTATTAAAAATAATGCATGTAATTTCCATTCAAATTATATTTAAACATATATCTTATGTAAAACTTTCAGGTATATGCTAAATTATTGTAAATTACATTACTCGAAAAATATAGTGAATGCACAGAAATTAAAGATTTGCACATGCCGAAAAGGGAAAAATATGAAATATGTATGGGTATTTATGTGTATGCTTGCAAAAAGCATGTATCTGCCTTTATTCAAAAATATATAAATATTTATTGAATTATTTATAAATATATTTGAAATGAAAGATTTATTCATTCATAAACTGTGAATAAATCTAATTATTAAATGCATCTAAATTTATGATGATTATAAATATTTTCTAAATATATAACATTAACATTGAATTGTAAACATAAAGCGAAATATGTTGACAAATATGTTATAAAACTATTTAAGCAAGAATTGTTCATACTGGGATAGCAATCTGTTAAAAGATATTGTAAAGCAAATTCTACGAGAGATGCATACTTAAGGAAGTAATAAAGAAGAGCTTTAGAAGTAATAAAGAAGAGTAAGAGAAGAAAAAGCAGAAGTAATAAAGAAGAGTAAGATTTAGTAATAAAAGAAGAGTTTTAGAGTATTGTTGAAATTAAGGGTAAAAAAAAATCTGATAAGTATAATTAAAAGAATTATTCGCTTACATTTTATAATAACTCAGTTACAAGTTTTAAATAACGTTTTTAAAAATCCTTTTTTATTCTCTTTCAGAAATATTCAGAGAGTTAAATACTATTTAATGTATTTCACTATTAAAATAAAAGGTTTTTGAGTTACTTTAATGTTATTTTTGCTTATTTCACTGTTTGTAAGATATTGAAAAGTTTAGCATGATTTTTTTCCTTTAACGGAAAGTTGGTTAATTTTTTTTATTAGGATAATTAATATTTGTATTAAGAGATATAGCTTATTTCATTGTAATTTTGTTATAAGTAATAACTTTTTTATGAAGTTGTTCTGCAGAGTAAAATTCTACATAGTTTTTTAATTTAACGTTTGGTGTTTCCTTCAGACATTTTTCCGGTACATTTAAAAGCCAGACGAAGGCTGGCAGCGAAG